GGGTGATACTAGTAGCTATCTCAAGTATGGAAAAATAACCCATGCAAAACTAATCTATACTGTGAGAAGTCAAAGTGGTGACTTCTTTAAGAGGAGGGAGTGTGACTGGGAAGGGCCATAGGGAAGCTTCTGGCATGCTGGTCGTATTTTTCATCTGGATGCTGGTGACATGGATGTGCTCAGTTTGTGAGAATTCATCATGCTGTATATGATATTTGCATAAGTCTGCATCTGTATTATTTTTTAATAAAAAGTGTTTTAAAATCCATGTAAACGACTTGACATATCATAAGTTACTATCAGCCATTACTTTGATCAGTGATCACTGTCTAAGCTTTAACATTATTCCCAAACACAAGGAAGGGCTTCCCCAGTGGCTCAGGGGTAAAGAAAGTGAAAAGTGTTAGTCAGTCAGTTGTTCTGACTCTTTTGTGACCTCCTGGACTATAGTCGCCAGCTCCTCTGTCCATGGGATTCTCCAGGCAAGGATCCTGGAGTGGGTTGCCATTTCCTTCTCCAGGGGATCTTCCCGACCCTGGGATTGAACCTGGGTCTCCTGCATTGCAGGCAGTTTCTTTACCATCTGAGAGAACAGGGAAGTCCCCAGTGGTAAAGAATCTGCCCGCAATGCAGGGGACACAGGTAATGAGGGTTTGATCCCTGGGTCTGGAAGATCCCCTGGAGTAGGAAATGGAAACCCACTCCAGTATTCTTGCCTGGAGAATCCCACGGACAGCGGAGCCTGGAAGGCTACAGTCCACACGGTCACAAAGAGTCAGACACGACTGAAGTGAGTGATCAGGCATACACACAGAGACAAGGAAAATGACAAACGAAAATAAGTACCGAGGGCAGGCCTTGACAGGGACCTAGTGGTTTAATTAGATATTTGTACTTAGGGGTTGGGAAATCATGCAGAACAGGTTTATTTTTGCTATTGTCTCATGCTCAGAATGTTTCATTCTATAGATGTTAGAGCACATTTAGAAATAGTCACATTTCCAGAATTTCTCCTCTTATGAGAGCATCTTATTTGGAAAGAGGGGGGAAGGTGCCTTTTGGGAAACTGAGTTTGCGTTATCATTTTGTATGATTGAGATAATGTCAAATGGACATATTTGAATTGGGGTGGGGGTGCAGCTGGTGAAGCTGATAGAAATACCGTTCTCTGGTGCCACCACTTCTTAGAATACAAATTCTGAAAAAGGAGAGAAAGAGTCCCAGCAGAGGGAACTGGCAAGGACCAATGCTCTCATGACACCATGAGCTCAAAATGTCTTGACCCAGCGCCCCCAGCAAGGTCATCTCAGAAACAACTGGGCTTCAGCAACTTGTCTTAGCGGCCTCAGAATGACTAAGGCCTATTTAAGCCTCATGGTTGGTTAATCATTAATGAAGATTTTTGACAAACAAAGTAGAACAAGCCAAGAAAGAAGCGTGGCTAAAAATTAGCTCAGAAAAGGGCACATATCTTGCAAATGAAAGGTCTGGTGGTGTTTTTGATTGTGAGTACAATTGTGTGGAATGGAGTCACAAGGATATACAACCCTGTGGAGGAAGCCAGTGTGCCTTCAGGAGATTCTACTTAGGACCTTCCTCCACACTCACATTGATCTGCAGGACTCTGGGCCTCCATCACCTTTCCCAAGAAGGCTGCGTTCTTGTAGGGCTTCCCAAGCCAGAGTGGGGAATTCGGCCAACCCTTGCAGCTGCTATGTGACTCCAGACAGGAAGGATGGAAGGTCCCAGAGGGTGGAACCTTCCTCTAAAGGAAGAAGGGGTGAGAACTCTCAGAGCCTCGGCTGGCCCTGCAAACTCCCATGGAAAAATCAGCGTTGGTGGGCATCACCTGGTGCCAGGAAGGCCGAAGAGAGACAGTTAGCCACCAGGGGGAGCGCTCGGACGCAGCATGCTACTGATTGTTAGACAATCCCTCAGTCCTTCAGTTTAGATAAAGGCAGTTGCCGCCATTTTCTAAAAGAAACTCAAAAGTCCTAAATGGGAATGATTTAGGGTTCTTCCTACTTCCTTGTTATCCAGGCCAAATCTCTTCCTTCCAGAGTTAACACGGGCCTATCAACCGTGTTTAGCGATTGTGGGGACAAAGGTTGTGTTTCTTCACTCCACACCCTTTCTCTTTTCTGAGGCTGCCCCACTGAACGTCTTTCAGGCTCTTGCTTTTTCTTCTGGGCCTGGGCACTTCCTGTTTCCTCTTCTTCCTGCTCATCTGCCCACCCTCCCCCCCCTCAACCCATCCTGTTGTTCTTTGCTTAGATGCCACTTCCTCTCCAAAGTCTTCTTAACCCCTTGCCCAGGCCAGGTGGGTGTCCCCTCCCATTTCATAGCCTTTTCATCACTGTCTTATCATGCCTGGGAGCTTCTGGAGGACAGAGGGGGGTTGATTTTGATCATCGCCGCTCCAGTGCATCATCCAGTTCTGGTAGAGAGCGGGCACTCGACACGTGTTTACTGAATAAGTAAGTGAACAAAAGCATAGGAAGGTGTAAAATGGAAAGGCTTAATGCAGTTAGGACAGTGGAAGGCATTCACGCTAGTTTATAAAGAGGGAGAGAAAGGAAATAACTTTCTTGTCTATGATGTACCCAGCTTATTTAAACATTTATTTATCCAGGCTTTTTAAAGATTCATTAACTTATTTGATTTTCACAGTAACCTTATGAGTGTATCTCTTTTACCAATCAAGAAACTGGTGCTCAGAGAGGCAAGGTGCCTTTTCCAAGGTCACAAGGCTGGTTAACAGCAAAGCTGGGGGTTCACCCACTAGGCATCCAGACTGCAAGCCCAGCCTGTTCCACCAGGCCACAGTGCTTGGCAATCGCTGAGGAACACTGGGCACCTAGAGAGGGAAGACTAATGAGGGGAAAGAGGAGGCAGGCCCTGTCTAATCTGATAGCTTAGAACTTGAAACTGAAGCAAAACATGTCTCCTGAGTTTCATTCTGTGTTTCAGCCTAATCATGCCCTTGACCTTGAATGGTCAGAGAGGAGAAGTATGTCAAGGAAGTGGCAGGACAAAGATAAAATGAGTACATCTGTGTTATCCTACCACTAATTTTTTTTTTTTTAAAGCTGAAGATGCTTTTTTTTTCTTTAGGGTCGTTGTGTCAAATGTGATTTTTTTCAAAACAGCCACGCTGAAATGTCACATTTCATATTTTTTTTTTTAAACTCAACTCTCCGCAGAACACTTTATAATAAAGATAACATATAATATACTATATACATCTCTTTAAAATAGTCAAGTACCATAATGCCCTTAAAACAGGGTTTGGTAAGCCAGTAAGGTCAATTACAGTTGACAAAATACACTCAGCATGGGGCATGCCTTGTCACAGCACCCAGTAAAATACTGGGACTGTTCACAGGATTATCCTTCATTAGGAAAGAAAAATTAGAACTTCTGTGTTCTAGCTGTTTGTACTTCCACCTAAATAAGTGCCTATGCATGTTGTCTTGACAGATATTTTTGGAATTTAAACATTGGGGATCTAGTCTAGTGAATCAGATGGGCATAGTTGACTGCCTACAGTAGGTTTTTAGTCCCGTCCATAATCCTTGACACAGCATCCTAAGTCGAATTCCTTCCATCTACCAGACAATTTTAGCAGCTCACTTAGTGCTACGTCTTCCGAGCTGAACGTAGGCATTCCGGCCATCCTACCTTCAGTTCCTATCCCTGAGAAAAGAGGCTGCATGTGAAAACACAGTAAAAGCCAACGGAAACTACTTTTGGAGAAAAGTTTTTCTTTTTGTAGGCTGTGAAGCAGGCTGTTGGTACTACTAAATCTATTTCCAGGGTCAGTGTGCTGAGACTTGGGAATCTGAATTTCTGCCCTGGTTCCTACCAGCTGTGGGACCCTGGCCAGTCACATATCTGTTCTGCCTACTTCACTAAGTGCTTGGGAGGTCCCGAGGCAATGGAAACCAAACGGCCGTAGAGCCCAATGAATCACACAACCATAGCATTTCTCCCCACCCAACACACTGTTTACCTGCTTATTGGGTCTGTGTTCTCCCTCTTTAATGTAAGCTCTACGTGTACAAAGTTTTGTTGGTTTTGTTCATGCTGTACTCACCACAGCACCTAGAACAAAGTGGGGCATTTAGTAGAGGTGTAAGAAATATTCTGTAAGATTCATTCTTTTAATTCATTTTCTGACAAGAGCAATCAAATTGATTCTGCAACTTAAAGGACACCTGTGCTCATCTCCTAAAACTAGATGGTATCGGCAAATCGCGTTGATCTCTCACTTTGGGAAGTTCCCTGGCCTTTCCTGTCTGTGAAAAAGACTTTATCCTTTTAAGAGGAAGCAGGAAGTTAGAATTCCAAGAACTGTGGGTTGGGAAGGCCCATAACCCAGGCTACTCAAGACTAACTAGGTAAAATTCTTAATCAATGGCAAAGCTTCGTGGAGCAGTTTTTAGAGGTAATTCCACTGACAAGCTACCACTTTCCCTTGAATTATTAATTGGCTTTACTGATGGATCCCACCTGAAGTTAGTGATGATCTATAGAGAAAAAGGCAGTGTCTTGCTAATCTCGCTGCGTCCTGTAAAAAAAGGTGAAACACAAGACTTTGGTTTCCAATGTGGTGACCAGCATACAGGTCACACCAGTACTTTCATGAGACAATCGAACAACTCAATGTCACATCAACTGAGTCCATGTAGATATCTAAGTGTAAAGCTCTTGGGATCATAAACAAACTTCAGCACTGAGAACAGTGATAGGCTTTGCCACATCCTACTCTAATCCAGATGCTAAGTAGTAGTTGAGTGCTCAACTTTCTACTACCTGGACCCAAGGCTGAGAACACTGATAATTCCCAATTTTTACTATGTACCTCATCTTCATTAATAATTCCAAATCAAAGATATGATTTTCTCAAGCCAGAAATGGTCAATTCCTTCTATGCTATAAAGGTTTTTTCTAATTTTGTTAGGAAAAAAAAGTGTATAAAGAAAACACAATTTAAAATAAGGTATTGAAATTGCTTTAAAGAAAGTTTTATTTACTGCATACATCCTAAGAATGTATTGTAAATGAAGCAAGATCTAAATAAACTTAAAAGCTTTTCAAATACAAAGCAACTAAAGATAACAACTAAACTGCCAGCATGTTTGAAAACAGAGAACTCGAAAGCTTTTTTTTTTTTTTTTAAATTTTTATAGTTTGTTCTTAACCCTAAAAAAAAGTTCACATTTCAAGTTACAAACTTACCTCAGTAGTGTACATATGTGAAATGGTTTTGAAACAACAGGAACAGACAGACCACAGGTAGGTAGGAGGCTCACTGATACTTAACTGGCTATGTCACCAACATTTATTTTTAAGGTAGTTTGGTAGTTGCCATGTTAAGACACCATTTTTTCCTTTTTTTTTTTTTCCTTTTTTGCAAATAATTTACAGGCACATGTAAAATACAGTAAGACCTCTGGATCAGTCTCATCCAGTGAACCTCTGTGCTAATTAACCCCCCACTGGAAGGATAGTAAGAGAGCACTTCTTTCATACAAAGTCAAGGGATGGGAACTGAACGCAAACTGCGTTTTGTTGGGTTACTCATTACAACGGACTTAAGTTTGGATGCAGCTCGCTGGGTACATCATCAGATACATTGCACAATTACTTTCTGTCATTTAACAATGATGGAAAGGAAGGCTAGGAATGTTTAAAGGCCTTTGCAGGCACGCAATAATCTTATAGAATAGTTAAATAAATATTGCTTATATATAAAAAATTCATCCCACCCTAAGATGAGGGAAAAGAGAGCATCTGGGAATCTCTTAATTTAAAATGTAAAACAGAACTAAAACATCTGCTAAGGGCATGATCCTATTATTAATCCACAATAAGAATTCAGCCATCAGCAAAATTCAGTGAGTGGGAACATTTGATGGAATCTCTAATATGACGTAAAAACACAACTATGTCCTTGCCATCTATTGCACACCTCACTTCCTTGTTAGAACCTTAAAAAAAAAAAATTCCAAGTTGATGTATTTCATAAAGTAGATGACAATCTTAACATTTTACTGTATTTTACATTCACTCTGCTAAACAAAAGCCTTTAAACAGGCACAAAACACTGCAACAATACATTTACTTCCTAATAAAACAGAACTGTTTAATAACATTGAAATAAAATGGTTTCGTTTTTGCATTCAACTATATACCATGAAATTCTGCAACATAAAACAACTAAAAATGAGCATTAGGAGATATTTACAAACTTTTACTCCTATAGGTCTCTCCTCCTCCTCCTGGCTGTGCACGCCCCAATTCAGTTCACTTGCCACATGCACGCCAACAACAGAGGGAGGCCCTGTTCAATAAACATAATATTTCCAACACCCCTGACAACCAGACATTGTGCATGAAACATGATAAGGCAACTAGAAGCATAACCGTCTGCTAACAAGAGCCTTTGGGGTCTTGTCTATAATAACATTCTCTGTCTCTACAAACTTAGACTTCAAAACAAATATATAATAAAAGCATTAAGAAAGGAGTGAAGGTTTCATATTGGACAATTAAATAGCTATGCAAAGATGCCTTATGCAAACTATTAAAATCTTGTGCTTACACATACTCTGCTATTGAAAATAGCTCCCCAAACAAACCACAATCCCCCCAAAACAAAAACCCATACAAAACAAAAAACCCTAACAAAAAGAAGTATAAAAGCCATCAATGTTCTCTGTCAGAGTAATTAATTTGTCCTTGACTTGCCAAATATGAAGGTGGGGTGGGGCGGGGGGGTGGGTGAGTGGAGGGTAGCGGTGGGTGGCGGAGGGGACATATCTAAGAGCAAAGGCACATGGACAATGAGAAGGGGCCCAGGACGATGGCAGCAGGTGACCGCGCCTTCCAGTGTTCGGACTCAGAAGTGTGACAAGTCTTTTCAATATTGGCTTAAGGAGAGGTCGAGCGTTTAAAGAACAGAACCATCATGAGTAACACGTGGTTAACACCCGTCAACCCTTAATTCCAGCAGAAATAGAGGTTTCACTCATTTTATAATTGCACTTTCCAGTATAACTTTTAAAATAATGTTTTCTGTAGTATTTTTAAAGCACTATTGTTTGTATCTTTAAATATTGAATATATTTTTCAAAATAGTTCCCTAGCTGCTCAAGTGTGCTTTTTTTTAATATATACTTGATATATTATTGAAGGTACTACAAAATAGAACTCTCTGGAGTGCAGAAGTTAAGAAAATAACCTTCATAACTGAAAATATATCCTTAAAAATACAAAAACAAAAACCTCTATACAAATGTACTATCGGTACAAATTTTTAAGAGATGGTGTTTAAGGCACAAACCATTCCAAGTCTCTTAGAAATGTATGAACACAGGTCTGCTAAATTGAAAACAGTCTTAAAAAACTAGTGAAAACTTCATGTAATATAAAATATTCCAGTATGGTATCTGATAACATTCTTCGCGTGCAGGTTTTGTGTGTGCTAACCCAACACGCTCCTTCTTCATAAATAGTAAAGCGTTCCTTCGGCGGCGGCAGCAGGCCTCAGTAGGTCTGGTACACGTCGTGGATGGGCACCTGGATGGCCGCGGCGGGGAAGGCCTGAGGTATGTAGCCTGCGTATCCGCCGTACACGGCAGCGGCAGCAGCTGCGTTCTTCTGTAGTGTGGCGATCGTGGCCGTGGCGGGAGCAGCAAACGGCACGTAGCTGGCTCCGTAGATCCCGGCAGCGGGGATTCTCTGAACATTCGGAGCCACCGTGTACACTGGAGTTATTGGGCGACCCTGAGGGGAGAGAAAGCATCTTATTGATCACCCGTAGGTATCTAACCAGACAGGCGGAGGACCCCACCCTAGTGGCAGAAAGAGAAGAGGAACTGAAGAACCTCTTGATGAAGGTGAAAGAGGAGAGTGAAAACACTGGCTTAAAACTCAATATTCAGAAAACTAAGATCAGGGCATCCGGTCCCATCACTTCATGGCAAGTAGATGGAGAAACAATGGAAACAGTGACAGACTTTATCTTCTTGGGCTCCCAAATCACTGCAGACGGTGACTGAAGCCAAGATGTTAAAAGATGCTTGCTCCTTGGAAGAAAAGCTATGACAAACCTAAATAGCATATTAAAAAGCAGAGCCATCACTTTGCCAAAAAGGTCTGTATAGTCACAGCTTTGGTTTTTCCAGTGGTCATGTATGGATGTGAGAGCCAGACTATAAAGAAGGCTGAGCATCGAAGAATTGATGCTTTCGAACTGTGGTGTTGGAGAAAACTCTTTAGAGTCCCTTGGATAACAAGGAGATCAAACCAGCCAATCCTAAAGGAAAACAGCCTTGAATGTTCGCTGGAGGGACTGATGCTGAAGCTGAAGCTCCAATACTTATGGCCAGGTGATGAGAAGAGCCAACTCACTGGAAAAGACCCTGACACTGGGAAAGATTGAGGGCAGGAGGAGAAGGGGGCGACAGAGGATGAGATAGTTGGATGGCATCACTGACTCAATGGATATGAGTTTTAGCACATTCAGGGAGATGGTAAAGGATAGGGAAACCTGGTGTGCTGCAGCCCATGGGGTTGCAAAGAGTTGGACATTACTGAGTGACTGAACAACAACAACCTATCCATTCATTCAACAACCCCATTCATTCATTCAGCTCCCAGGGGTGAGGCAATGACAAAGAAACAAAAGTTTCCATTCTCAGGGCAGACGGACGGACAATCGTAAGGGACAGACAGGAGCCGCTGAAGTGGAGCTGCATCCTCGAGGCACATTCAAAGCCAACTGGTGACCATGACAGAACTGGCATGTTCACGGAAAGTTCAAATACCCTGGAATCTTCTGCCCACCATTCTACTCAATCAACCTATGCACCAGAGTGAGCTAGAGATGGGAGCTGAGGTCTACTCTTTACTCAGTTGATCTCACTGTAATTATGAATAAGTATTTTTCCTAAAATACATGCCAGCTGCCTCAACTCATACTTAACTGAAGGAGCATGATGTATCAGCAATGGAGAGGAGCACAGTCTATGACTTTATGGAACAAAATACACAGCTCTCCCAAGGGCCAGCGTCGTGAGCTGTGACCTAAAAAGACTGTGATCATACCGGATCTTCAACAAAGGCGCTCGCTTCAACTATCACCGACTGAAGATATGACACCACTAAATATACAGCTGCTGCGGAAGCTTAGAGAAGAAGCCAACTACTTTGAGGAGCATGAGGAAGCGTCTCTGAAGCGGAAAAATCTGAGCGGGGTTTTGAAGGGTAAGTGGGGCTTCCCCGGTAAAGAATCTGCCCGCAATGCCAGAGAGCTGGGTTCTGTCCCGGGGTCAGTCAGATCCCTTGGAGAACGGAATGGCTACCCAACCCAGTGTTCTTGCCTGGAGAGTTCTGTGGACAGAGGAGCCTTGTGGGCTACAGTCCATGGGGTCGCAAAGAGTCGGACACGACTGAGCGACTAACACTTTCACTTGGATAAGGTGGGATTTCCACATGAGCAGGAAGTGGGGAAAGAGGAGCTATCCGAAGCTCCCTTACTGTAGATGCCACGCTGGCTCTGAAAGTCCAGGATGCTTCCCTCCCTCCACTTGAGAACATACTACATTTTCAGAACAAACAGGGGTAGACGAGGAAGACTGTGGTTCAGTATTTTCCAAAGTGTTTGCTATATGGAGTCCATTCTGTGGACCGCTTTAGGGAAAAGGAGATTTTTGGTAAAACAAAACATACATTTATGTAACCAAACATCTTGTGTAACTTATGTTCCATAGAATGCCCTGTGGCACAAATAGTTAGGGATATGTAAAAGGGAGAATTATATTTTAAAAAATTATTTCTTCCTGGGTCTTATAAAGGAATTACTTATCATTCCTTTACAAAAATCTGCAATTCAGAGTCACAAAATTATGTTCAAAGCAACTTCAGAATTGAAGAGTCATTTTTTTTTCAACTGTAATCCAAATAATAATTACAAATAATATCCAAATGATAGCAGTAACAGAGATGACCGTCTGCTAGGCACTATTCTAAGTGCCTTATTTAAGTGACACTACTGAGACATCATCACAACCACCAATGAAGCTGGTGGATTACATGGAGAAGCTCTGATGCTTTAAATGACTTGCGCACCGTGACACAGCTTTTAAGCAATGGGATGTGTGAGTCTGGCACCTGTGCATTTAGCCTTGCATTATCCTGCCTGCTACAATGCAGCCACAATGAACGTTAGTAACACTTTACAGCCAAGGAGGGAAACTTTGGAACTGGGAAGACTGTGGTTCACAGCAGGACACAAGCTGCCTTCTGCAAATCTGTGGACATCTCTTTAGTGACAAATGCACAAAGGAAAGGATCACCAGGAAGGTGAGATCTGAGAGGAACCACTCCATGTACAACAGTGCAAGCCCAACACCTGAGCCCAGGGGAGTGTGATGAGGTTGAGCTGAGTGTGGGGAGCTGTGGAGGAGGAGAGAAAAAGCCCTCAATTTCCCCTCCTCTCAAAAAAGGGATGGTTCTTGCTCTACCGATACCACTGACTTGCTGTGACGATTGAGACACTTTGAGAAATAAAAGTGAAAAAAGGATTGTCTACACGTGCAAGCTTTTTTTTTTTTTAATTGCCTCTGAAGGCTATATGACATTTTGGATTTAAATGGCTACAAAGGAACATCTCTGAGCTCCTGCAAAACAGAGGAGGAAGATGGAAGGTGTTACCCAGGAAGGTCACTGGGAACCGATGCGTGGCTTCACTCTGAAAAGTGTTCTTTTACCAATCCATGGAGCTTAAAATGCTCCTTCCTCTGTTCCAATTTGGCAGAGAACACAGAAGAGGCGGAGGACAGAACGTCTCCGAGAACCCAGGTCAAAGAGCTGAAGGCAGGACAGACAGTGCTCAGCTTTGAGGGAGAGCAGTGGGGCCACACGCTCAAAGAAGCCATTCCCACGTTACGGAGGAAGTAGCTCCAGGCATTCTGCAGAACATACTGGAGGAGGGAACAATGGCCATAGGAGTCTACTGATGATGATAGCACACCGAACAAATCCCAAACCACAAGACCCCGACGGCAGCATCCAGTGCAGACTGATACAAGACAGAAACAGTCTGCAATCCAGGATGTGATCACGAAGCCTGAAATCTGGGCCGAACCACAACGGTGACCATGCAGCAAAGACCAAAATTCACAAGTTTCCTAATAAAGAGGAATTAGAACTAGCAGAATTCCACTAGGTAATGCCTGTAGGTTACTATATGTATTTATAGTCAGGACACAGTAATAACTACCTTGTGAGTCATTTCCAATGCAAGACTACTGCCGGGGTTCACAAGCCTAGCTGTTTCAGCGTTACTGAGGAGGTGGGACAAAATATGGATTCTAGACCCCAAGCCCAGCTCCGCTGAACTGGAATCTTCTGGGGTTTGAATCCAAGAATCTCTGCTTTATAAACATGTCTCCTGGATAATTCTCATCCAGTTAGATACAAGACATCCCTGCCCTGAGTTTTTATGCTTATGGATTGATGAGATGTTTGATATTTACTGCTTCACAAAGGATAACTTCAACAAGATTATTTCTCTGTCTAGGAGAATGATATATTGTATAGGTATTCCCTGTGTGCTGCATATTGCAGAAACAAAGAAATACATCTAAGATGTGGCTCTTGGTCTGGAAGCACTTTAACTGGGGAGACAGAACACAGAACTTGACTGGTAGTCCAGTAGCCAATACTGAGAAGTACAGGACAGATGGTTTCCAAGGTGAGGTAGATGGAAAAGGTTCTAGAGAAAAAACCAGAGAGAGGAGAACACTATGAGCAAAGGTGGGGAAGAAGGATGGAACGGTCAAACTGGATTGGGAGGAGAAATGGGAATAGTTGGATATGGTTGGGAGAGAGGATTAAAGGCAGATTTTGTAAAGTTTCATAAATCTTTATGTCTATAGACATTTCTGTCTCTCTACAGGTACTCACACATACACACACACATATATATATACATATACATACACACATATATACGTATGGATATACTCAGAGAGAGAGATGGAGGGGAGGAAGAGGGGCAGAATTTTAAAAAACCTTTACTGAACTATAATCTGGAATGCAAAAACTACAATCTGGCATGAACTACCCCCTGGGACCCCATGTGTCACCTCTGTAACAATAAGTACATGAGTTAAAAATTATCCTGTGTCATTAAAAAAAAAAAGGATGTATAACATCACTGTGAGAAATTACATATGTCATTTTTGCATATTGCTTCCTATCTTTAAAACAGTGGCGATTTTGGGATAGTACAATTATTAGCTAACATTTTCCCGTCCTGTCATGATTTATCTTACAAAAATACTTCTATCACTCAGACCCACAGTTCCAGCAGAAGGCCAGGCACAGTGTCTTGAGTCCGTGATACTGGAGACCTCACACCAGCACCGCAGCAAGGCGCTTACCTGGAAAGGCGGTGGGGTGGACACGGCAGGGATGACGGCCGCGGCGGCTGCGGCGGCCGCAGCAGCGCTGGCTGGGTCGGGCTGCACGGCGATGGGGCTGATCATGTGCTCCATGGTGTGGATCTTCCCATCCTCAATCATTTTAGGGGCCGGAGCTGCCTGAAACATGGAATACTGGGCGCCGATGGCAGGGATGGCCACTGCGAGAGGAGGAAAAGGGAAGCACAGCTCAGCCACGTCCAGTTGCTGAGGGAAGCGCCATCGCTTTCTCAATATCTTCCCAAACAAGTGTAGCAGCTGGGGGCTCTGCCTGCAAACGAATGCTCTCTCACTACAGGTGCCATCCAAGAGGAAGAGGGGGGAGGCGGAGGCAGCCCGTATCCTGCTGGACTTTCTAAAGGAACCATGTGGGCAACGCGTGGGATCTCCCCACGGATCCTCAGGGCAGGCAGGCTTCCAGCTGTTTCTGCACCCGCATTTTCTACTGCTGCCAACAGAATTTAGAACAGAATAGCATTTAGACTCGCATGCTTGAGGTCCTACAGGGCAAGAAGGGCCTTGCAATTTTGAGAAAACAGGCTCAGAGTGAGAGCAGAGGCTTGAGGCCCAAGAGTGTGAAAAGGGCCTGCCAGCTCCTTATCACCTGTCTGACTCAGTACCAGCCCCACTGCCCTTTTCACTTTCACCAGGTTTTACAGAGCAGGTGCTGTTGAGAGTTTCATTCTGAGAACTCAGAGGTCAGTGTACATCCTCCCCGACCTGCCAATGCAAAGACATGTTTCTGTGAATAAAGTCCCAAAGCACTCATTTCAACCAGAGGCTCAGACAGATCACAGTTTTCGAATGTCAATGTAAGATGCTGCCGCTGCTGCTAAATTGCTTCAGTCGTGTCTGGCTCTCTGCGACCCTATGGACTGTTCAGCCCTCCAGGCTCCTCTGTCCATGGGATTCTCCAGGCAAGAATACTGGAGTGGCTTGCCATGCCCTTCTCCAATGTATGATAAGGAGAGGTAAAAAGACAAAAAAAAAAAAATTAGCCCTGATTTGGGGGAGTTTGTGTGAGTGTGTGCTGTATGTTTCGAGGATGGTAAGAATATTGAAATGCATACAACAAAGTATACTTTCACTTGTTTTTATTCTCCAACTGTAGGTGACGTCTTCTAATAAAAGCCGATTTGATATCAGGTAAAGAGAAATGCTTGCGTGCTGTGTTCTCAGTCGCTTCACTCGCGTCTAACTCTTTGTGACTCTATGGACTGTAACCCAGCCAGCTTCTCTGTCCATGAGATTCTCCAGGCAAGACTACTAGAGTGGGTTGCCCTCCTCCAGGGGGTCTTCCCGACTCAGGGATCAAAGCCGTGTTTCCTGCTCTGCAGGTAGATTCTTTACCAAAGAGCCACTGCGGAAGCCCAAAGAGAAACGACTGTAGGCCAAACAATGGTACAGTCATTCAATAAAATACATCTAAAATCTAAACCAGATCTTTTACCTGCCTTTCTACCTATATGATCTTGTGCCTAGATACTTCACTATTGCCTGCTGTTCCTCCTAAAATACAGAGTTCTAATTTTTTGAATGAATCAGAAATAGAGGTCCAGGGGACAGGGCCCAGAAAGGGCTGTAAATCAGAGCTACGTCTGAGTTGTACTAAGCAACTCCAGATTGTTCTGGCTACCAGCCACCGGAACTTCTACCCCATGCCTCAGCACACAGTTACATGCTTCAAGATCTTTGAGTTCTTTTCTCTGGGCTTCTCTGGTGGCTCAGCTGGTAGAGAATTTGCCTGCAATGTGGGAGACCTGGGTTGGGAAGATTCCCTGGAGAAGGGAAAGGTTACCCACTCCAGTATTCTGGCCTGGAGAATTCCATGGACAGTCCATGCGTTTGCAAAGTCGGACATGACTGAGCGACTTTTCTTTTCTCTAGTTAAATCTTAAACTACTGCCAATGGGAATACCTTTCCCAACAAGTAGACGTGACAACTCCTGTATCCAGGTTCTGCTTTATGGAATTAGAGAGAAACAGGATAAGTTTTATATTGCTTGAAGCATCAATGACATTTGCAAGGAAATCCAGTCTAAGGAGTTACTTAACTGCAGAAGTGGCATATTTTTTTTTCACAGGCATTTAGGGGGAAAAAAAAAATCACTAGATTACTTCAAAAGGAAGCTCTACTGAGAAAATGCCTTGTAAGCCCCTATGTGGCCAATGCCAGCCTATACCCCTTATACACAGCTCCCTTGAAACTGTTTCAGCCAGGGGAAGGAGTGTAGTCCTCAGCCAACACGAAGTCAGAGGAGCTGCGCTTCGAAGTGAAGATGCTCTCAAAGAGCTCTTCAATCTACCCTCCAGGAGGCTGGGGGGTCTGGAGGAGCATCATGATGCAATCTCCCATGTGTCTGGGTGCTTGTGTGGTGTGTGCACAGAGGGAGTTTGTGCCCTGCTCACACTGCGCAGTTAAATAAAGCTCCGTGCAGCTGAGGATCAGAAAGAAGACCTGTCTCAGATGACTAACGAGCCTTAACAACGTTGGAAAACTTGTTTGTGGGGCCTGGAGGGTGGAAGCAAAGTTCAAGGTCCTTGGCTTCAATTACTTGAGTGCCCCTACCCTCCATCTACTGATCCAGCAAGAGGCGAAATGAGAGCTGGGAATTAGCTGCAGAAAGTTTCTCTGCGGCCTTACTCCCAGGCGTTCTGGTTGGTTAAGACCACGACAAGGGGCAGCAGCGTTATTTGCTCCTGAAGGGGAATTTCCCAACAACTCTCAGAACTGGCAGAGTTGCACCTTCTGGCTTCTGATTGACTGGGGTTGAAATAGGCTTGAGTAAGGAATAGAAAGCTTTTAGCTGGTAGAAGATACAGTAGAGCCTCATATTTTTCTACCCTTGTACCCCTCGCCCCAACCTCCCTAACTGAGAATCTGCCTAATTGAGAAAAAGTCTAACAACCGGTGACATCCATTTGGGAAACCCACTATTAACAAAGTTTGACTTGAACATGGTCAAAATTAGACCATCCCCCAAGTTCTAGATAAGAAGGCCCAGGAGGCCACAACCCTTGCCTAATCTCCGGCTGCCTTTGAGAAGAGGAACCCATGTGCAGATGAAAGTGCCGAGGGAGTCACCTCAAAGAGAGAGAGCTGGGGTTCAGGCTGAATAAACGCATTCTCACTCCGGTTGATACTGACCTGTACCAGGCTTAATGGCAACTGGATTGACGGCAGAGATTTCCAAATTCGGCACAAGTTCAAATCCTTTTTCTTGCGGTTTTCCTTTTCCTTCATGATATCGGCTATATATACCACGGCCAGCAGAATATCCCCCAAGGTAGGAACCCCTGGGACCCGGGGCTCTGTTGCCAGCTGCGCCTCGACCCCGGCCTCTTATGCTGCCTGCTTATAATAACAACACAAAAAATGATGAGCTACCGACAGCGACAGTACGGGAGGTGGATCTTAACGCAGGGTTCTTAGCACTCTGGTATCTGCCCTGGCTCTAAGCTCTGCTCTTTAGAGAGCTCGGAAGATGCTTCAGACTCTCTGGCTCCAGCCTAGATGCATCCTAAGATGTCTGCTTAGTACACAAGATGAACTTGAAGAGTGAGTTCCTAGGATTGTAACTGCCACCCCAATAAATAAAAATTTTCGAAGACGGTCACAAAACTAGATGTAGAAGGGGAACTGCTAGTTCATCTTCCTCATTTTAGGCGTGAGAAAACAGGCTTCCGGAGCTTAAAGGGGCTGACTAAAGTCACAGAGCCAGTTCATCAGAGGGCAGGACCCAGAACCCAAGTATTTTGCTTTCCATTGTAATGCCTGCTTTCAGGACAGGCGAGTCAGCGACTAAAAACAACAAAACAACACAAACCCAACAATACTGTGCCCCCTAAAGGTTTAATTTTACAAGCAGGTTTAAACCTAAGAACCCAGAGACTTGCCGTCTAGCCCCCCGTTGGATAAAGGCCCTGGAAGGGCAGAACGCAAGAAAAGCCTGCATGCTGCGCGTGATGGGTCACGTTACCTCACGCTGTATATATGAACCATCTACGTTTTCCTCGATGCGGCAGAAGTGAATGCCGTATGTGGAACCGACACCCCAAGGAGGGTGAGTAGGGGGGATCGCCGTCCACCAGCCCAGTAAACGACAGCCTCCACCCCGCCCAACGGCAGCCACCCGGCAGACGCGGCTGCCCCGTCCGCCGCGCAGGCGAGGAGCCCCCACTAACCTTTCATGAAGTAGTCCCTGTTGGGCCCGATGAGCGCGTTGTAGGGGTAGCCGTAGTAGGCGAGCGTGTAGGGGTCGCAGGAGTACACGTAGCTGGGCGGCTGCACCACCGCGGCCTCCGCGGCGCCGCCGCCCTTGGCCGCCTTCTGGTAGCGGGAGTACTGCTCCTTGTCCACGGGCTTGGCCAGCGTCACCTCCAGGCACGAGCCCTCCAGCTCGGTGCCGTTGAGGTTGTTCATGGCGTGCACGGCGTCCTCGCGGCTGGCGAAGTGCACGAAGGCGTAGTCGCGGATCTTCTTGACGCGCTCCACGCAGCCCGGGTTGAACTGGCCGAAGCTCTTCTTGATGGTGTCCTCGGTGGTCTCGATCATGAGGTTGCGCACGTAGAGGATCTTCACGGTCTCCATCACGTCCTCGTCCACGTCGATCTCGGGCTCGGCCCAGTCCACGGCGATCTGGTGGCCCCACAGCTGGATGCGGCCGGGCATGAGCTTGCGGCGCGCCATGGCGGCGGCGCGGTGGCTCTCGTACTCCACGAAGGCGAAGCCGCGGTTCTTCATCTTGTCGGCCGCGCTGGCGTAGACGATCACGTCGAGCACGCCCTCCGTGACCTTGGCGATCTCCTCCAGGATCTCCTCGCGCTTCTTCATCTTGGGGATGCCCCCGATGAAGAGGCGGCAGTTGTCGACGCTGCAGCACACGCCCAGCAGGCGCCCGGGGCGGATCTCGTAGTTGTTGAGCTCGCGCACGGCGCGCTTGGCCTCGTTCTTGTGGCAGTACATGACGAAGGCGTAGCCGCGGTTCTTGCCGTCAAAGTCCATCATGAGGCGCAGCTCGTAGATGCGGCCCACCGCCTCGAACACCGGCACCAGCTCGTCCTCGTAGACATCGCGGGGGATCTTGCCCACGAAGACCTCGCAGCCGCGCTGCGGGTGCGGGCCTTCCCAGCCGGGCGGCGGGCCGCCGTATTTGCGCTGCCCGTTCTCCTGCACCATGCTGTAGCCCGTGCGCGCCAGCAGCGCCAGCAGCGCCGCCTCGTTGGGCGCGCCCGCCACGCCCTCGGGCACCTTGGCAGAGGACCCGGCGGCGGAGTCGCTGCTCATGGCTGCGGTGGAATCCTCTGCGGTCATAATGTCAAAGGCATCCACGGCCGGTGGAGACCTGGGGACGGCAGGAGGGAGACGGTGAGCCTAGAATCTACACCAAGTTGAGCCACAACCTGACTACAGGTTTTTTTTTTCCTTCTTTTTCTCTTTTTCTTCTCTTTTTTTTTCTTAAAGCCATCCAAGACTCACGCTTAACTATCGGGTGGTTAAATGAGAAAGAAGATGGGGACTTCTCTGGATGAGCGGCAGCTCTAAAATAGTCTAAATTAGGCAAGTTGTTTTGCAGGAAAAACCAGAAGTGACTCAGGAAAAAAAAATCAGAAGGAGCAGGTACTTCCGCCTAATCAGTACCCCCAACAGCTTTGAAGCATAGAGAACCTGCTGTCATTGTGGGTGCAAATCTCATGTTCTTGAGGCAGTTGGCAAGATCTTTTGCTTAATTCCTGCACTGTCAACTCAGATTGATTTCCTTTTAGTTATAGCATTTTACCCCCTTTATTTCTTTGGCAGACAAAGCCTGCTTTCTTTTTAAAGAGGCTTTTCCATTTAGGAATGGAAAGAGGGCAGTGTATTTATATTGTTAAGGAAAAAACTGAGGAGGTGTTATCATAGAAGATACAGAACTGTGTGCTGAAGCTTTTTACAGGGAAGAAATGGAACATCCACAATAACGAAGGACTTGGGTGAGGAACTGTGCGAAGAGCTGGTAAGTCTGACTTTTTAAGGTGTCACTCCCTGTCAGCAAAATTCTTGATATGAACCATTCATGGATTTGGAATCAGTGCACAGAGCTAGATTAGGTTCAGGCTGGGGATTTTTGAAACAACAACTATCTGGTAAACTACAGGATAGTTTTCAGAGAACTGTCACATGCATTGTCTTATTTGATCTTAATCTCCTTTCATGGTAAGTGATAGTATCATTAGTCCCAATTTGTCTATGGGGAAATACACTCAGAGAGGTTGAATAAATTACTCATTTCACACAGTAGGTATCAGCTCCTATCGGGACTTGATTTCAAGCCGTCTTGTGTTCTTTCTTCTAAACCAGTGCTGGGCAATAGAACCTTCTGTGATGATGGAAAAGCTGTCAGTAGGCACTTGTGGCTACTGAATACTTGAAATGGGATAATTGCAGAGTTTTTCATTTTTTTCTAAAATTAAATAGCCACATAAGTGCAAGTCTAAACCATGCCACCTTCACTTCTTCAGATCAGGGCCCTTAGAAATAATTTAAAATTATACAGTGAGATTATCACTAGGTGCTTCTTATTGTGCCTTTGTAAAGAATAGCTCTGATTAGCTTTTTTTAATGAAGTTTATTTCATTTTTTTGGACTATGAAAGTATTCAGGTAAATTTTATGGAAATTAAGAAAAGTAGGAAAAGAAGTTATTCCTAATTCTCCTACCCAGTGGTAGCCACATAAACTTTCCCGTCTTTCTTTTGATAGTTTCTTTGGGGGGAATGGGAGAGGTGGAGCTAGGCTTCCGACAAATTTACATCTGCTGCTTTACTTCATTTTATAAGCATTCCTCCACATTCTTAAAACTGTAAAAATATGATTTATAATAGGAATATGGTTTCATCATTCAACTAAATTTTTATAAATTGACTACTGGGAATTCTACACAAGGATATTAGGGGAAATTTCAAGGTTAATTAAAGTACATTTGCTCATCTAAAGAAAAAAAGAAAAAGAATGATAGGGACACAACAGAATGTATGTTTTTGCCTCTTGGCCAACAAGTACTACTTTGGTTCATCTGCTGAAACAGTAAGCAACAGTACAGTTTCATGGGTTAGTGGGTGGCCACTGGACTGATGCTGACGCTGAAACTCCAGTACTCTGGCCACCTGATGCGAAGAGCTGACTCATTGGAAAAGACCTTGATGCTGGGAAAGATTGAGGGCAGGAGAAGGGGACGACAGAGGATGAGATGGTTGGATGGCATCACTGACTCACTGTAGATGAGTTTGAGTAAACTCTGGGAGTTGGTGATGGACAGGGGGGTTCACGGGGTCTTAAAGAGTCGGACACGACTGAGCGACTGAACTGAACTGAACTGGAATCAGAGTGCATGACTGTGTGTGAATCCTAGCTTGAACACTTCCTAGTTGTATGACCTGAAAGGATATTCAGCTCCTTCATGCCTCAGTTTCCCTATCTATAAAATGGGAATGATGATAGTATTAATTTTGTTAAGTTTACAAAAGTGAGTCAATACATACAAGCATTTTGAACTGTGCCTGGGAAATTGTAAATGCTCAAGAAATGTCAGTTATTATACTTCATCCAAACTTCTGGGTAAAACTCAAGACCAATTTAGTTTTAGAGTAATTTTGACACTTTCTCAGTTCTTTAAAAACATCTGTTTGCTATGGCTGCTATTCTTATTTTTAATTTTCTTTGCTCTTCAGTTGCTTGAAAGCTGTTTTGGCAACATATCCAATTATTATGAAGCCTTTTTTTCTGGTTTAAATTTGAAAATAATACAGTTCCTGGAGTTTTGTGTTGAAGCAGAAATTTCAGTATCAGATTTGAACATGAAGATCTTTCCCCCCTTCCAAATGGAAGCTAAGGATATATTCTTAAGAAGATAAGAAGATTCTTTGCACAAACACATGTGCATTTATAACCTGTGACCTGGGAAGGAAATGGCAGGTATGTATAAACACGTATGAGGGAATTCAAGATCTTAACATGGTTTAACTACATAAAACAGTGATTAAAGTCCAAAGGAATAGTCCTTCCCTCTCTTCTGAGAGATGTAGGGTTGACTTTTAATATTTTCATAATGGTACTTTGAAACTACTCTTTAACTCGCACAAAATGCTGTATAATGCCAGGCTGAGGGAGTCATTTTCAATTCCAGCCCTATTAATTTCACCAGAAAATCTGTTGCTTTCAGTAAGTAGTTATAGCTTAGTCTCTTGCACCTGCAAGCCAAGAAGAGCCCTTTTTCCCCTGAGCTTTCATCGTCTGGGATAAATGAGTCATGTTACTGGCCCCCTTTCTCTTTTTACTTTGGCTCCTAGGAGGTTCAGAACTGAATTTGTCACTTTAGTTTTTTATTGTGTAAGACATTACAGCACACTCTCAGGTTCATCTGATCTTGGCTATAGTTTCATTTTTTTAGTCTCCTATATCCCCAGTAACATGAATTTAGCTATGTATATTATTCATCTTACTGTTTTCATGTCCTTGGAAGCCATCTCTCATAATTTTGGAGTTAGGAGAGGAATAAATGCATATACCCATGAAAAAAATATATATATCATTTGCATGAAATATAAATTAGTGTGGTATTTAAATGAACTATTTTTACACTAGAGATACATAAAAGCAACTGAGAACTGCAATGAGATTCCACTCTGCATCCATCAGCATGCTATTGTGTTTGTGTGTGCACGCACATGTGCGCGCTCAGTCATGTCTGACTCTTTGTGGCCCCACTGACTGTAGCCTGCCAGGCTCCTCTGCCCAGGCTCCTGTCTTGCTCCTCCTCCGGGCAAGAATACTGGAGTGGGTTTCCATTTCTTCCTCCAAGGGACGTTCCTGACCCAGGTATTGAACCTGGGTCTCCTGCACTGCAGATTCTTCACCACTGAGCCACTTGGGAAGTCCTAGCATGCTATTATAACCAACCAAACATACAAACTAATGAAGTAAAATAAGTGTTGACAAGAATGTATAAAAACGGCAACCTCTGCTCATTGCTGGTGGGAATGTAAAATGGTGCAGCTACTGTGGAGGACTGTATAGCGGTTCCTCAAGAACACAACAGTTATCATATGATCCACCAATTCCACTGCTGGGTATATACTCAAAAGAACTGAAAATTGGGACTCAAAACAGATATTTGCACACCATTGATCATAACAGTATTATTCACAGTAGCCAAAAGGCAGAAACAACTCCAAAGTCCATTGAGACATGAATGGGCAAATGAAATGTGGCGTGTGTACTCAACAAAATGTTATTCAGTCTTGAAAAAGAAGGGAATTCTCACATGTGCTGCAGCATGTATGAACCATGAAGATGCCCTAAGTGAAATAAGCCAGGCACAAAAGGACAAATATTGTATGAGTCCACTTACATGAAGCACCTAAAGAGTCAAATCATAGCAGAATAGTGGTTGCCAAGAACTGTGGGGAGGGAGAATGGGGAGCTACGGTTTATGGCATTCCAGCGAGAGATGGCAAGAAAGTTCTGGAGGGGGGGGTGGTGATGGTTGCATCAGTTACTACTTAATGCCACTGAACTGTACGTGTAGAAACAGTTAAAATGGTTCTTTCTTATCTAAAGGTTAACACACATAGTGAGAAGGCTCAGAGATGCAAAAAGGATAAAAATAAGATTCTGTAAAGTTAAGATTTCATTAGCGGCCATTACAAATGGTATATTGCATTAGTTTAACACATTCAAGAAAATCTTATGGTCTACAAACTCCATTCTTCTTATCTATATGTCTAAGATGCCATAGTTAAATTACCATGCTGTTTTGAGTTTTTGTTAATGAGTTTTCAAGGCCAAAGGCTTAGATATGTAAAAGATATATGGCTTATTTAATGTCTTAAAAGCAGGGGAACTATATAGCATTAGCTGTATGACCCTTCTTTCAGAGATGAAACAGAAACATTATTATAACTAGACATGCTTTAGACCAGGGCTTGGAAAATTACATCATGGTCCAAATATAGCCTGCCATTTGTTTTTTTTAAATAAAGTTTTATTGGAACAGTCATCCTCCTTTTTTTTTTTTAAAGATGGCTCTTTTTCCATTTCAGGGGCAGACTTGACTAGTTCAGACAGAGACTGCATGGGCCATAAAGGCTAAAATATTTACTCTCTGGCCAGGTATAGAAGAAGTTTGCCAACCTTTGTTCACGGAGAACATCAATGAGGCTAAATAACAAAGATTCTTCTTGCTAAGGTATTACAGTCACTTTTCCCTCTGTTTCCTATGCTGAGTAATTACTTACCAGTTTTAAAGAGTCTTCTCAAACTGCTTGTCCCACCCCACCCTGCAATTCTAAGCTGTCTTCCATTTAACTACACAGTCAAATTTATGAGACCAGAAGAAGAGACATCTGCTGAAGAATGCTGGCTCAGCTCCTAACACTTACATGTGAACAAAATTTCTTAAGATTTTAAATTCATTCATTCTGCACATATTAATTGAGCACCTGCTGCTGCTGCTAAGTCACTCAGTCGTGTCTGACTCTGTGTGACCCCATAGACGGCAGCCCACCAGGCTCCTGGCCCTGGGATTCCCCAGGCAAGGACACTGGAGTGGGTTGCCATCTCCTTCTCCAATGCATGAAAGTGAAAAGGGAAAGTGAAGTCGTTCAGTTGTGTCCGACTCTTAGCGACCCCATGGACCGCAGCCTATGCAGGCTCCTCCGTCCATGGGATTCTCCAGGCAAGAGTACTGGAGTGGGTTGCCACTGCCTTCTCCAAATTGAGCACCTACTATGTGCCAAACACCAGTGGACCTCGTCCTCACTGGGCACCGTGAGCCCTGACTGTCTTACGAGGCTGCACGCCAGCCGCCCTGAGTGGCTCCTGCCGTGAGCTGGAATGGTCCACGCAAAGCTCCCTGTGCGGGACCTCGGGCCAAGTGCTCAAGAAATGTTGGCCTAAGAAATCTGAACTTAGAAATCTTACCCAGTCTTAAGACTGAGTTAAGAATCTTCCTTGTGTTTACAGGGAAACAAGAGGCTACCCCAGCCAACCTTAAAACCAGGCAGAATGAGAGGCCTAGCCTGTGAATTCTGGTGTAGACTGGCATATCAGAGCTTCCCAGAGTCCGTTCATAGCAGGTAAGTTGTCTGGCCGTGTGATTCTCCACTGGTGACGTGGCTCAGCCATCCGAGTGTAAGCCTGTTTCTTGCCTAACCTTTGGCTATAGCCGTTTGCAAGAGGCTCTTCCAGAAGGAACCTGCAGAGACCTGCTGCATTGGGCTCAGATGGTCCTGGAGCCCACATGGATGCCAGATCCCTGGCAGCAGGACCTCCCCACGCAGCCATGCTCACAAACACTGAAGACGCATCAGTCTTCACTGAAGGCTGCTCTCATTAAACAAACAGGGCATTATATTCAAAACTGCTCATTTACTCACAGTTTGGCATGTAAAACAGCAGAATATACCATCAAATCAAGCTATTATTATTTTGAACTATTAGCTAGAATTTTTGTTGTCTTTGTTTTAGGTTGAGTTTGGGCTTGTTAGCGTAAAATAACATCTCGAGGTTAACTCAGGCTTAAAGCAGAAATCATCAAGGATTTGAATTCCCTTAAAACTGGTTTAGAGTACCTTTCAGTAGGATTTTAAGTTTGCAGTGGGACATTTTTCTTTCGGCCCTGACACATGGCTTGTGGGATCTTAGTTCCCTGACTGGGTATCAAACCTAGGCCCCCCAGCAGTGGAAGCATGGAATCCTAACCACTGGACTACCAGAAAATTCTCTGAAGTGGGACATTTTAGAGGGCAAGGGCTAACACTGTACTAGGAAACATTTCCAATGTTCACCAACCAGTCTACCTGGGATCAAAAGCAGGCATGAGTTTACACTCATGGTAACGCAGACTACCAGTTAACTTTGGTTCAGAGCTGTGTGTGTGTGATAAATATGCAATTTGGAATTGGAATTCTTGGGGGAGTTTTATTTGCTCACTAATAGACACACTGCAACTTGAAGATAATACTCAGTGGTGATCAGTGTCTTCCAGCACTAGCTGGAATTTAATCCAGTGGAAGGCTTTAGAATTTATTCAAGAGGTAATTCTGGCTCTCTTTGCAGTTAGGGTTCTATTTTTATGTCCCCTTATTTATAACATAAAATGTGTCTTTACTAATAGTCACTTCTTAGGCATGACTCAGCATACACAATGTATAGATATAATATATCCTGTACTGGAGATAGCAAGGACTTTGGAGCTGAAGAAACATGAGTTCAAGGTCATGACTGTGCCACTTCCCTGCCATGTCATATGAGGTTCCATGTCTACATCTCCAAGATGGTTCTAGCAATAGCACCTATCTCAAGAGGATTGGTTCCAAGATTAAATGATATTTAATATCACACATGAGGGGGCAAAGGATTGAAGACCAACTTCTACAAAAAGTTTTCAAGATTTGGCCTCACCCTGGGCGGTTACCTTACTGCTCTGTGCCAAGTTACCACCACCCATTACAGTAAACAGCAGAGTAGACACTCCCCCGCCCAGCAGGCCTCTGGGCAGAGGACAGGCGGGCAGGCCCCCGGGCCCGAGGACAGGCGGGCAGGCCAGGCGGGCAGGCCCCTGGGCCCGAGGACAGGCGGGCAGGCCTCTGGGCAGAGGACAGGCGGGCAGGCCCCCGCGCCCGAGGACAGGCGGGCAGGCCTCTGGGCAGAGGGACATTTCTGTTACCCCAGGGCTTGAACGTGTAAAAGCAGCTCTGCTGAAAATGGAGGCAGGATACTTGGAAATTACCTGGGGGCCCAAACAAAAAGCTGAAGCACAGCAACCTTTTCGACCTCGGCCAGCAGCCTTGTGCTATTTGAAGGCATGGCCCTTGGGACACACAAAAGTCCTCCCGTGATTCTCTTTTATTTAGGGAAAATCCTGGGAGCATAAAGAGGCCCTACAGTAGTGGCACTCTGGGCCATACCTTCTGTCCGCTCCTGGCTAATTCTGAGAAGAGTTAATTCATAATGGGTCTTCAACCGCACTGATGCCGGTACAGATTTAGTTACGGTAAAGCACATCATTCAGTGAATGACTGATGAACAGGTGAAAGCCGAGAGGTTCACTTTTCCCAGGCACTTCTATCAACATGTCCCTGAAATGAGGCACTTGGCTGTGGGTTCCCAGGGACATTGGCTGTGTACCAGGAGGGGGTAGAACCACCTGCCCCAGGGGGGTGGCGTGGGGGAACTTTCTGCGGGGTTTTGGCAGCACGTAAATACCTGTTAAAAATCTGCTATCTGTACTCAGCCGTTAAAAAGAATGAAATAATGCCATCTGCAGCACCATAGATAGACCTGGAAATTGTCTTACTGAGTAAAGTAAGTCAGACAGAGAAGGAGAAATAGCCCTTGACGTCTCTTATATGCGGAATCTAAAAATTAAAAAAAATTAATACAAATGAACTTATCAAAACAGAAAGAGACCCACAGAGGTAGAGAACTTAGGGCTGCCGGGGGGCAGGGGAAGGGATAGTGAAGGAGTTTGGGACAGACATGTACACACCGCTGTATTTAAAATGGATAACCAACAAGGACCTACTGTATAGCACATGGAACTGTCTGTGCTCGATGTTATGTGGCAGCCTGGATGGGAGGGGAGTTTGGGAAGAGTGGACAAGTGTACATGTATGGCTGAGTCCCTTCACGCTCTGCTCTTCACTTGAAACTGTCACATTGTTAATTGGCAATTGACCCCCAATACAAAATAGAAAGTTAAAAAGAATATGCCATCTGGTTAAATAAGCATTACACACGTATACTTCTTTCTCAACAGGTCGATGGGTAATGCTGGAAAAAAAAAAAATGAAACCTGCAAATTCGGACATATCTGCTTCCTGAATTAATGTTCTCCCAAGCTGTGAACAAGCAGTAGAAGGGACTTCTAGTCTCACCCCTGTCTTGGCTCTTCTGACCTACACCTTTGAGGCATCTGGCTCAGAACAGAGAGGTTGACAGGACCACAAATCCTGGAGAGGAGAAGGAAAAGAAGTGATAGCTTGTATCCTAATAGTAGCTTGAATGTATATAGTGTTTGGCAATTTAGAAAATTCTTTGATGAATGTAATTTAATTTCCTAAAATCCAGAATCTGAGCTGCAAAGGAACCTTGGGTGTCATTTAACCCAAAGTTTCTGAACTGGATTCCCTGCTGCCATTGTGGGTGTAATAATTCTTGGTTTGGGGTGGGGAGGTCTCCTGCAGACTGCAGCATGTTTCATAGGATCTCTGCCCTCTACATTCCCAACCCCCTACATGTGACAACCACAAACGTCTCCTGAGAGGCAAAACCGCTCCCTGTTGAGAATTACTGATCGAGGCTACCTTGGAGTTATAAACAGATTATACACTTACACATGTGTGCATGCTAAGTTGCTTTAGTTGTGTCTGGCTCTTTGCGACCCTAAGGACTATAGCCCACAAGACTCCTCTGTCCATGGATTCTCCAGGCAAGAATACTGGAGTGGGTTGCCATGCTCTCCTCTGGGGGATCTTCCCAACCCAGGGATCGAACCCAAGGCTCCTGCATTGCAGGTGGATTCTTTACCGCTGAACCACCAGGGAAGCCCAGACACTTACACATGAAACAGTGTAAGTTTCATGTACTAATGAAACAGTAGTATCTCCACACTCAGCATGGGCTTGGTGTCTTGACCTGGCTCTTCCTGTCAAGGCTATCAAAACTGAGACATGTGCAAGAGATTTCAAAGGTCCAAAGCAATGTCTCTTTGATACAAAACTACTCAAATTAATTTGGTTGGAAATCTATCAATTTAATTTTTCAAAGCAAAGAACTACCCCCATGAAGCCCTATCACACTGATGCTGTTGTTAGACTGACTTGCCATCCAGCAAACCGACAGGCCTGCATCACACAAACAGCACTTTTGCAATCAGGCTAAGGATCTGCCGAGCTATAGAAATGCCTTATTAAATCCAGACCCCTTGGCTTCATGGCCATGTGAAAACTGCTGACAAGCTGGTTTGTAGGACTCAGACCTTTTTCTGGTGTCACTGCTGGTTTCTAATTATGTCAAAAGCTTCACTTAAGATTCAGAATTTTGTTTTTTGACAGGCTATGAACAACCATTGCCCCTGGAACAAATCAGTTCACTGATACTAGAATCAACCTCTGTACCCCTTAGGCAGAAGGCAATGGTCTGATAAAATAGATGCTCAAACAATGTTTGTGCATGCATTCATTCAGTCATTCATTTATTCATTCATGCGAACACTTGCTGACTAAAACGACTGAGCACTTGCTGACTGCCAGGCTGTGTTGGTGCTTGGTGATCCAGTCGTGAATGCTGCACAGTCCTTGGGGTTCCCAGCCTAGCAAGGGTGGACGAAGAAGGAGGGAGAAAAGAGGGCAGAGCAAACACCATGAGCAAAGACGGGCAGCCACATAAGGTTCTTTAACCCTAGGACCTCCCGGGTGATGCAGTTGATAAAGAATTCGCCTGCCAGTGCAGGAGATGCAAGAGATGCTGGTTTGACCTCTGGCTTGGGAAGACCCCCTGGAGGAGGAAATGGCAACCCACTCCAGTAGTCTTGCCTGGAAAATTCCATGGACAGAAGAGCCTGGGGGGGGGATTGCAGACCATGGGGTTGCAAAGTTGGACATGACTGAGTGCGTGCACACACAGGAACACACATGTGTTCTTTCAGCAAACATTGAGTGCCTAAGGTATGATCATAGCTTTGTAAAGTTTACAAACAACAGTGGACTGTGGGTCAAAACAGAACCCAAAGAGCGACCCAGCTTTAACAGGTGGGTGAGGACTGAAAATCTGCACATCTGGCTAATTGTATTTACAGACAGATGGAAATTCTGCAAGGGTAATCCACCTTATCCACCTACACCTAAAACTACATTATCATATATTGATTGCATTACTGCAAATGTAATACCCAATGATTTTGTAATAGAATGAATTAATTAAAATCATGAAGATCAAAATCAATTTTATTGAGCATCTTTACAAGCCAGACACTTTGCTCACTGCTATCATTTACCGCAATGGGACGATTTCAGAGGAGGACTGTATTCCACAGCATCTCCAGCATTGCTGGGAAAGTGGTTGGAGAGTGTTACTTCCCTCATATGCTAAGAAGAGAGTGGCATAAAAGAGAACAGATGACTTAAATGCAACTTAAATGCAATAGATGATATAAATTCCCTGGAGGGAAGGAGATGGACTAGAAATAATCTCTTATAAAATTTCTGTAATGTATGGTTTAAAAACTCTCGAGTTAAGCACCTACTGTGTGCCATGAGACACCTTAAGGAAGTTATCTGATTTTTCGAGATGTCCCTATGAGATGAAGTTTAAAATGTGGGCTTTAGAGCAGGGAATCTGATTCAACCCTGTGGCTGTTCTCATACAGTCTTATTGGACTCAGTTTGTTTACATGTTGTCTATATGCTACTCTGCTATGAGTTGAATCCTGCAGCAGAGACAGTATGGCCCGCAAAACCTAAAAGACTGACTGTCTAGTCCTTTCTAGCAGAAGGCCTGCTCTCTTTGGTCAGATTTCCTGCGTTTGAGCCCCAAACTGTGAAGCCATGTGACAGTGATGTAGTTATTTATTTAAAGTCTTTGTTCCTCACCAGCCTCATCTGCAGAATGAGACTGGACTGGCGGTAACAACAATCACTATCTCAAGGCGTCACTGTGAGGAATAAATTAGATAATAATACCAAGTCCTTCGAACAAAACCAAGTATACAGTAAGAATTTGATACACGTTAGCTATTATTGCCTCCTTTTTAAAGGGCAGGAACTCGAGGCTCGGAGTGATCAAATAACTTACCCAAGACGGCTCAGAATTGAAATTTAGCTGATGACAAAGCCCAGGGTCCCTTCTGCCACGATAACTCTCTTTGCTGTGTTATTAGTAATAGCGGAGTTGACTGCAGCCAGTGTTTATAGGGTAAAACTATCAGTGAGAGATGGACTTTGGTTGACAGAGTTGAAGGAAACTCAGGCACAGGTCCACAGTAAAATTGCTGGAAAACCGTTCCTTTCTATAATACCAAATGCCTCACTGCACCGCCCCATGCCCCCACCCTCCAGAGAGTGCTGCAAACCGCTCCATAGCCTATTTCTGGCCCTTTATAAAGTAGTTAATAGGTTCAAATTAGACTTTTTAGACTTGAAAAAGAACTATTAAATTCTTAACTGGAAATGTTTAAGGACTAGAATTCACATAATCCAAATGTTTAAGTGAGGATATGGGACCATGATATAGCAGTGGGAATGGGGGCTACTCACCCAGGCTCTGGAATCAGACCTAGCTTCATACCCTGGCTCCCCCACTTGAGAAGCAAGTGTTGTCACACCAGCCATTTGATCTCCCTAAGCCTCAGTTTCACCATCTAGAAAATGGTGATAATACACCTCACGATGTTGTGAAGATTAAGTGAAATGATATATAGAAAATACTTAGAAAAGTACTTGGCTATATTAAGTGCTCAAATTTATTATTTTGTATTTTATATACTATATGATTTTTAAATAATCATTATTTCAGTTGAGCAAAATAGATGTTTTTCAAGGGTGTACTCTTGGGAATACAGCCCCGTGTCTAAGTCACACCTAGGAATCACAAATTTTCTGTTTGACAATGTAATTTTAAAAGCTAAAGAATCTGAAGGAATTTACTCCCAGATTTTTGTGTACAAACTGAAAGGGAACTTCTGTAGCTATTACCTTCTATATTGATATAGGAAATGCACCATCGTAACCACACATTTCACATGTGGTTATAATGATGCCTTCTTCAAAGCTACTGATTATGCCAAAGAGCAAATACTATGTTCTTTTTGATATTTGTTCAATTGTTTATTACCTTTTCATTACTACATTGTAGTGTGGTGTACCTACACTAATGCTTTGTGTCTACCCATTGAATGTAGTTGTAAATACTGTTTATTAACTATGATATATTCAAATTACTACTGCAAGTTTAAGAAAGTTACCTGGGAGTAATATTCACAGAAAAGCTTCATGTGCCAGCACTGGAATATATGAACTGGTGGTTTGATGGATGGCAATTTTTATCATAAAAATATTCTTTAATTTGCAAAGGGATTTATCATAGAGTTCCTTTAGCTAAAAAGTCCTCTGTGTCATCTAGAATATGATTCAAGTTATTGAAAAATTGATCTCCCTCTATATATATCTTTCCTGAATATACCTTCCCTATATCGATATAGACCTATAACACTGTGCCAAAGTATCGGTCCCATTTTCTTGATGGAGAAACTGGATAATCATGTGCTTAAGCTCAAAATCACAATTACACAGTGATAAAATGGGAATCACAATTTAATAAAGGAGCTTCATCTTTGGGAGTACAGTCTCTAGTTTAAATTCTGTTTGATAAATGGCCCATTTATCTTTAAGACAAATCTGGATAGTCCAAATATAGAACATATATATATATACATATACACACACACAGATATTTTGGAGTATATACCCATATACATATTTTAGAATATATATATTACATATATATTCTAAAATTTGTGTATAAAGAGTATTTTCCATTCAGTTTCTTGAATTTATACCAAAATAGAAAGTGAACTTTCCTAAACATAAGTGTATGTAGCTTAATGATGGTGTGTAAATGCTCTTCCTTTCCCCCAGTTTCAAAGTATATTAGCAAGTGATAGTTATATAGTAATAGTACAGCCATTATTATTGCTCCATATTATACATGAGTACATGTTCTATGGGTTATGTTCTTTTATTACCTTCTGGTGGTATGTCAAATCATAGTATACAAGAATATCATAGGTCTCCTTGTAAGAAAAATGACAAATTGCCTGTTCTGAAACAAAGACTCTCTAAGACAGAATGACATAGACAAACATTAGTTTCAGTTTTAGGTGTGACCTTCTGATTTTGTTTGGTTAACATTAGTCATCTCAGTTCTGACTAGGGAACAGTATCTGCCAGCACAGAAAAAAATCAGATCCTGTTTAATGTTGATGTTCTTGTATTTCATTGACAAGTATCCCAAGGCACTAGGTACAGTGAAATAGAAGTTGGCCAGAAATACTCTCAACACTGATTAAGCCATGGGCTACTTTCTTCTACAAATATTTAAGTTGAATGTGGGGTATTTTTGAAGTTAAAAATATTTTCAAATACCACAGCAATATGACTATAATAGGCTCTTTGTGAGAAAACATATAAAATGAAGTAAACTTTCTAGTGGGAGGCAGACAATATGCATTAAAATGCAACTTTAAACTAACCCCCAAGTTAATTTTCTTTTTATCCACTAAACATTTAAATGTTATTCTCCCTTAACTAACTTTCTAGCTTTGTTCTTCCTCTGGTG